ACACCTTTTGAAAGCAATTACTGAAATAAATCAAGTTTTTCAAAATATTCTAATTTACTGGCTTTTACCTGTATATACGCAGTCAGTGTGACATGGAAAGCAAATCGGATTAGTGATAAAAAAAATTCGGGTGTAACCAATGTTGCCGCCTTTAGCCTTTAAACCAGACGTCCTGACGCTCAGACGTTTGCTGTGAACGCATCATCGGACTGCAGGAAAACTTGTTTTTTGTTGACTTTCCAGCGATTCTGTCTGACTTTCCATGAGGAGCTGATTCATGAATATTATGTCTGTAGAAAATAAATGAAGACCACATCCTTACAGTCATCTATTTGACATCTTTTACTAACAATAATTTATTGAGCTTCACTCAGGGAGGCACTCTTCAAACTTTTATTGGACGTCCTGCTCTCTGGGCTTTGAGTCGGACGATATTTCATTCCTGCGTAGCTGCAGCTATAGAAGGAGCCTCCAGCTGGACGTATACTTTATGGTCTCCCATAAATTGCATCACTGCCTCCGAGGTCCATTTAATTTGGTTGATTAATGCAGCACCACGCTATAATAAATGTCTAAAGGCCTTCTACAAATAATCCAAACTCCAGTTTCTACACTGAAATATAGACGTTTTAGTCCAAAGGAAAAGACGCTCTGAACAATCCAGTGGTGGCTGCTTTATTAATCTATCTGGTTATGAAGGGAAGTCGGCTAACGGATCCAGGTGTTCTCAGCAGACAGGAGAACCGGCCTTTAACAGTAGAACCTGGCAGAGCGGAGCGGCTTTCTGCCGCCACTGACTGGAGGCTGCTGGTCCAGCTGCTGTGAAATGGTTCAATGTTGATAAATGAAGCTGAGGCAACATCACTGCTCTAAAGGTTTCCTCTGGAGAGAATAGTCCCGTCAACCTCAGCATGATTGGTTCTTTTATTACGTACAGATTCGTCAGCGGATGTCTGTACCAGATTTGCTCAGGTCCTCCGCATGCCAGGGACATTAAACTGTGTGATTGGCTGAACGTTGCCACGGTGAAGCCAAACATGGTTGCCCGAACAATGATAATAACATAACGCAGCGTTTGTGCTCCAAGTCGGGAGCATCTGCATTTCTAATGACCAAGGAAATTTTACCAGATTGATAACAAAGCTGAAAAAATGTGTTTATGGTGAAATAAGTCACTGCAAGGCCATGATGGGAGAGCTGGGATGTGCTATGGCTAGCTGCACTCAGTAGCTAACAGGTTAGCCTGTTTTAGCACGGCTAATTATCCATCTGAAGCTACACAACCTTTAACTCTGGATCAACAACTGTTCATTTTCTACAAGTAGAATAACTGTTTCCTTTGTCTAAAATCTCCATGAAAGTCATTTTTAAGATGTTGCAGTTGTCCTCCTCTGCCTCAGATCTTGATAAAAAAAGACTTTTTATTGTTAAATGGCAGAGCTCAGTCTGTCTTAGACTTCGGTTTGCCTTCTAGAGTGACGCTGCATTCAGACCGGCTGCATTCTGGGTGTCACAGTGGTTTATATGCAGAGTCTATGGAGCGCAGTGTTGAGGGGGACAGCGGCGTGTTCTGACTTCCTGGAGCAGCGCATTTAGAGCGTTCTGGCCTCGGAGTGTTCAACGCTGGAGTTCAAAAAATTAACTCTTTGCTGCTGGACGGCGGAGCGTCAACCAATTAGAAAAGCTGATCCAGGAATACTTTTGGGGGAGGCGAACAACACAGACGACAATTCTTAAATTTTTTTACTCATAATGCTAAATTCATTAAATCACAGAGAACATATTAGTTTTAGGTATAGATAATGATCCATTGATTATTCCTTTCTGACCGCACTTTTCATTTAAAAGCTCTTTCCAGCCGCTACGAACGGCAGCAGGAAATCCCCCACAGGCTGGCCGCAGCAGAGAGCTTTCAGTGGGGATTTCCAGAAACGACGTATTTGGAAAATAAAAAAAAATCCACTCGACTCTGTTTCCAAGATTTGAAGACGTTTTGCTACCTCTCCAGGAAGCTTTCTGAATTCAAATGTCATTTGAGAAAGCTTCCTGGAGAGGTAGCAAAACGTCTTCAAATCTTGGAAACCAGGTCCACTGGATTTTCTAAAAACTTTTACGGAATGACTATGACCTGGATGACTGAGAATATTCTTC